CCACCAAGTGACGCATCAATGCACTTTTGGTTTTGAATATTATACGCGCATAACAGTTTGGAAACACATTATGAACCTTTTCCATTTAGATAGTATCTAGGTTCCAAAAGACATCGAAATTATAGGTGATCTTAATTCTATTAATAAGCTTCACAAAGATTGTAATAGTCTACGAGTAAAGTACTCGGTTAATTGCATAAAAAAATTAATATAAATAATCCTAAGGTACCTATATACCCTAGCCAGGAATATCTTAAAAACCGAATATCTCCATAAGAGTACGCCAAAAGCCACTAATATTTTAACCTTGTTAGTTTGGCGGCGAGAGCTTTCTATTGATGCAAAAATATCTGGTAAATTCAACTTACAGTACAAACACCTCGATTGTAAGAACATAATAATTCTTTCATTTTGATAATCATCAATTAGAAGAATTTTTATAGGACAAAAGCAAAGATTAAAACAATGTTGCAGAAAATACTCTATCCATCTTTTGTTCAAACCAATTTTCAGTTATAATTAATCAAATAGTCGATCTGGAAGTATTTTTATTAATTACTGCGATTTCATATTCTTGTGACTTTGGTAGCATGCAATAATTTTGTACCATAGGTTTTTTACATATTTTATTTCGTGTTATTGTGAATATTATCTCTTGATAAAAATAATTAATTAGAGAGCACCATGTATTTTATTGATTCATATATGATTTTAAGCAAGAAAAAAAAAGAAAATTGGTGCAAAACAAGAAGGAAATCAATTGCTAATCACATTCCAAAACATATGTTGATACAAATTGTCATAAGACTTGTTAGTTTGAATAAATTAGTCGAAAAAAAACAAAAATATAGTCTCCTAACTCGATGACAGTCTTTTGGAAGGAACATAAGACTGAGCAAAACGTTGCTTTTTTCCATTGTCGAAAGGACACTAAAATTGGATAATTAAAATATTTAGGAAACAAGAGATCATCAATCAGAATTTTCACCGAGATTCGTTTATTAGACTGATATTTTTCAATAAGTGTTTTTAAGAATTCTATTGATCGAGAAGAATTACATACATATTTGTTCCAGATTTCTCAAATTCTATTAAAGCTCATATCATATACAAGTTGATAAGTCAAACACTTGAAAGGTATGTCGTCAACACAAAGTTATTTAGAGTCGCCAACAAATAATCTAGATTAAAAGAATAAGAAGGTTTTGATCTAATAGAACTCTTTTGATTTTACTACTGAATTAAACTAATTCATACTTATGCACACATGATTTAGTCTTTAAAGCAGAGAAAGGTTGCCACAAATATAAAAATGTATCTAGATGCGATAGATAGTAGTTATATCATGTTTATAATCGTTTTAAGTCCTTCACCTGCTCAGACTATAATCATTACTAATGTAAAAATGACTTAACTTAAACTTCTTGTGGATCTCTCTTCTAGTGAGACTAATGATATTCAAACTAACAACCATATTTGTAAGAAAGGAAACAAAAAAAGAGATTATCCAAGTTATTTGACAATGCATTGAGTTTCATAGATTACTCTGATTGTAGAATATAATTGTAATGTATCTGAATAACGAAGCTTAAATGACAGATTGCCATCAAATTGTCAGTAGTGTCAAACGTTGTAGTGTATTGACAATAATTATTATTATTGTTACATTTATTTCATTTCTTATCTGTTGGTGTTTGTCTACTGATGAGTCATGATTTACATATATGTATAATTCTATACATATATTTATGTGTGGTGTGGTCTTTTTCCTTTATGTTGTGATCATTCTAATTGCGTATATAACAATATTTCTATTGTTATATTTCTTTTGTTTCTTTTTCGTATTCTGCATTCCATTTGTATGAGTCATCAGAACATATAGATCTCTCTCTATATATGCTTGTCTTTTCTTAAAAAGATGATAACTTTTGTTCGTTTCATTTCATCTAATTTGTTAGTTGTTTCTGTTCTTCAAGTCAATAAAACAAGTTATTGGCCTTGATCTTTATTGTATTACGCAATTGATAATACAATACATTTTCTGGCTTTTACGTATACCCTGAATACGTGACAATTGGCGACGAGAGTGAGATAATTCAAAAAAAAAAAATTTTTTTTTTTTGTTTTTACAATATTACGATGCCTCTCAACCGCACTACTGTTGAACAACCAGTACGTTCAAACACATATCGTCTTCATGAATTCGATCCAACATCTTATGATTGGAATGATTGGGAAATTTTGTTCGATACTTATATCGATGTCGAAGATATTACAGATGATAACAAGAAACGAAACTTGCTTATTACAGTTCTTGGTGTTCAACCCTTCAAAACACTTATTTCTGTTTGTAAACCTAAGAAACCTACTGAATGCACTTATTCGAAAATAATTCATAAACTTCGTACAAATTATGCACGTGTTACATTTTCTTCAACTGAAAGAATTAAGTTTTTTGCAACACGTCAAGAGTCATCACAAACTCTTACTGATTTTGCAAATTCTCTTCGAGATAAACCAGTAACATGTAAGTTTCCAAATGATTTTTACGAAGATGCTTTAATTGTAGCATTCGTCGGTGGTTTAAAAAATGAACATGTCCGAAAACATTTGATGCAGCAAAATTTAGAAACATTTGAACAAACACTTAATACAGCACGAATATTTGAATCAGTTCTTATTCCAGGTGCTAATGTTAAAGATAATTTATCAGAAGATTCATGTATTATGAATAGAGGTGTTAGCCGATCCTTTTCCGGCGGCGGCGGCGCGTCAAGTCCGCCGAGGAAACGTTTTCAGCGGCGGCGGTGAAATTGTTCGTGCGTCGTTCCCGTTTATTCGTGGTTTCCTACTACTAAAACAAACATTACACGTTCCGTTCTCACAGAAATATAACATTATATATCTCCTTCAACGTGGATCTCCTTTTCTAAAAAGATTTTTCACTATAAGGAGGTCATGACAAATCTCAAATTGGTACCAGTTTTCACTAAATGTCT